CCTGAGTAACAATTTTTGTTCCCCCCAGTAACAATTTTTGTGTCCCCTCAGTAAAAAATTCCCGTGTCTGTCCCTATAAAAAATTCTTTTTTCCCTGATTAAAAGTTCTGTGTCCCCGATAACAATTCTGTGGGCCCGGGGTAAACAGTTTCTGTGTCCCTGAGTAACAAATTTTTGTCCCTTTATAACAATTCTGTGTCCCTGATAAAAAAGTTATGTGTCCCTGATTTAAAAGTTCTGTGTCCCCGGAAAAAATTTTTGTGTCCCCGGTAAAAGGCTGTTCCCGGGGTAACAATTTTGTGTCCCTTTAACAATTCTGTTCCCCCCTAACAATCTGTGTCCCCCCAAATAACAAATTTTGTGTCTGTCCCTCATAAAAAATTCTGGTCGTCCCCAAAAAACAGTTTTTGTTCCCTGATAACAGTTTCCCGTTCCCCCGAGTAAAAATTCGTGTCCCTCATTTAAAAATTCTGTGTCCCTCTAACAATTTTTGTGTCTGTTCCCCCAGTAACAATTTTTGTGTCCCCTCAGTAAAAGTTTTTTGTCCCTGAGTAACATTCTGTGTCCCGGGGTAACAGTTCTGGGGTCCCCTATTTAAAAGTTCTGTGTCCCTGGGTAACAGTTCCCGTGTTTCCCCATAACAATTCTTTTGTCCCCCAATAACAATTCGTGTCCCTTTAAATAACAATTCTTTTGTCGGGCCCCTAATTTAAAAAATTCGTGTCCCCCCATAAAAAGTTCTGTTTTCCCGTCCCTGAAACGTTCGTGTCCCCGAAGGGAAAAAATTCCCGGGTTTCCCCCGATAACAAATTCTTTGCCCTTTATAAATTCTGTTCCCTCAAGAAAAAATTCTTTTGGGCCCTCAAAACAATTCTGTTTCCCCTCAGTAACAATTCTGTGTCTGTCCCTGAAACGATTCTGTGGCCCTAAATCCTTTGGCCCTAAATCCCGTCCCAATACAGGGGAGGTTTTGTCTCCTTTGAATTTACCGAAAAGGGAAGATGGCCCGCAATTTATAGCTCGACCATTACACAGTGCGGCTGGCTGGCTGCTGATTGGCTAATGCGCGATCACATGTCCATCAATGAATGCATTATGGGTCAGCGCGCCTTGTCTGCGCTTCCTTCCCAGAGATCCTTGCTCGTCGCCACACATGTCGCCGCATTTTTGGAAAATTTTGATTCGTCGCATCCGAAGGTCTGCTAATTTTCGGATTTCATCGCGAATCGATTTTTCCATAATCTTCGAAACGAATTCCACTTCGCCAAGTTCGATTCGCTCATCTCTACCTATCACCTTACATTTTTTGCATCTTTTGGATAAGCTGAAAATCCCAGTATCCATCAACATCACCACATAATCCTCTCCTCCTCCTATATCCGAAATCCTGCCTTTCCTCCGGCTTGGTCCTCTACGCACTCCTTTAACCGCTGGCTTTTGGCGGATCTCACTCGAGCTCATCACTTCATGCTCAGGAATAAACTCCAGTTCTTTGACTCATTACGTGAAACTCATGCACTTCCGCCTTCAGAAAATATTCAGCTACTTGCAATTGAAACACTTCGTTCTACTTTCTACGCCCCTTATGCAATTGTTGCTAACCCCACACAAGGCCATGTCCTCCTTTGAACGAACTTGTAGTAAAGACCCACACAGACGTGGCCTCATTTCTTACCTGTACTCTCTCCTTACAACCCCATCTGAAAAGCTTCCCTACCTTCTTACGTACGGAAATGGGATTTAGACCTAGGCCACGAAATTGATCCCTCGGATTGGGACCGTATTTGGTCTACCACCAAGGGGTCGTCGCAGAATATTGTGGCTTTGGAGACCAACTACAAAGTCTTAACCCGTTGGTACTTAGTATACCAGTGAGAATAGCTAAATATACCCCTAACTATTCTTCCGAGCATGCTTCAGAGGTTGCGTAGACCCAGGCACTTTCTTCCATACATGGTGGGAGTGCCCCAACCGCCAGGATCTTCTGGACGGAAATATTCAAAATGCTCTCCTTATTAAGTACGAAACACCTCCATCCTAACCCGCTAACAGCGTTTGCTTAATCTACGACCCCCCCCGAAGTCACGAAACTACAATTTAAGCTTCTATTGCAGGTTACTACAGCTGCCAAACAGGTCATTGCCAAATCGTGGAAGTCTACGTCGCTTAACATTACCGCGGTCCGAAACAAAGTAACCCAGGCGATGATCCATGCTAAAGTAGAAGCCACAATCTTACATACTACTATCCCCAAATTTAGGATGATTTGGGACCCATGGGTAGAGAACACTTTCTACCCTCTAACTTTGATGAAACTCTTCTCACTCCATAACCAACACCCCTGACTATTCTGGTACCCTCCCCTTTACTTTTACAGCTCCTTTTTCTTTTTTCCTATCCTTTTTTTTTTTTTTTTCTTCTTCTCATTAGCAAGTCGCATACCTTCCGCGCCTGTCTTCTCCCACGTTCACATTCCCCACCTAATATTGTTAACCAGTTCTTACCTGTTACCGTTCTGATGTTTACGGTTAATACTGCACTTCCAAAAAATTTCACTGTATAAGTATTGTATATTGTGTACTTTATTTGTTTTTTTATTTTTTTATCTTTGTTACCCCCCTCCCTATCCGAACAAAATAAAAAATTTTGAACAAGAAAGCTATCAAGTAGTAATCCATACTGTAATATACCATGGTTTCCACATCTCATCAAATTTGGTCTTGTAGCCTAGCTTTATTGACAACATTTTTTTCATACTCACAAGTAATGTTAACAGAAGCAAACCGCTTCAGACAAATTTGGAGCTAAATCATGTCTAGTGTTTATACTACTAGCAACCAGATTAGTTATATGTGTGACTATAGGTCAGTTAGTTATCTGGGAAGTTTTTCAATTTGCCAGACTAAGGATGAATTAGGGCCAGGTTAGGTATTAGTCAAGATACCAGTAACAGAGGATATGAGATGAAATACTTGGTTCTGGAATTCGAGTCGAATATATTCGCTGTGAATTTAACTTAAAAAAGGGTGTTTCTAGGCTTCAGAGAGACTTAATATTAGTGCTGAACACTGTACCTTTAATTTAAATGCCCTTGGAGTCTGCTGGGGAAGAGAAATAATACTGTCAGTCAGTATGACATGCAGATGAGTGCCGTCGATCTTAGAATCACCGCACACTTCACTCATTTGGGCAGTCACGGGGCCAAAACCAGAGTGTGGAGCCACAGTGTGGCGGTGGAGGCAGCAGCAATGGGAGGCCATACAGCACCCTATGACAAAAATGGAAACCACCAGCAGTGTGAGGAGACCTGAAAGTGGCACATGGCAGAGTGTGGCGATAGAGACAGCAGCAATGGGAGGCCGTACAGGGACCCATGACACACTCTGGACCTGGCAGCAGCATGAGGAGGCGGTACAGGGGCCCATGGCAGATTACGGGCCTGGCAGCAGCATGAGGAGTCGGTACGGGCCCATGGCAGATTACGGGCCTGGCAGCAGCGGGCCTACAGGGACCCATGACACACTCTGGACCTGGCAGCAGCATGGGGAGGCGGTACAGGGGCCCATGACAGATTACGGGCCTGGCAGCAGCAGTCGGTACGGGGGCCCATGACACACTCTGGACCTGGCAGCAGCATGAGGAGGCGGTACAGGGGCGCATGACAGATTACGAGCCTGGCAGCAGCAACTTGGACAGGAGGACGTTCAGCTTCTGCACCGTCTGGTGCGTGCTCGCAAACTGTTGTCTCTTGGAAACGGATTCCAAGAAAGACTGCTGACGGAATCCGTGAAGAGGAGTAGCAGGAGAAGGAGCATCTGAACGAGCGGAAGGGGCCCATGATATGCCAACAAGCGACAACAGGGGCCCATGACAGATTACGGGCCTGGCAGCAGCATGAGGAGTCGGTACGTGGGGCCCATGGCAGATTAGGGCCAATGGGAGGCCGGCAGCAGCTATGGGAGGCCCGTAATCTGCCTGGCACCCTATGGGAGGCCCGTAAAAGCACCCTATGACAAAAAACCCACCAGCAGTGTGAGGAGACCTGAAAGTGGCACATGGCAGAGTGTGGCGATGGAGACAGCAGCAATGGGAGGCCGTACAGGGACCCATGAGAGACTCTGGACCTGGCAGCAGCATGAGGAGGCGGTATAGGGGCCCATGGCAGATTAGGGGCCTGGCAGCAGCTATGGGAGGCCCGTAATCTGCCAGCACCCTATGACAAAAAATGGAACACACCACCAGCAGTGTGAGGAGACCTGAAAGTGGCACATGGCAGAGTGTGTGATGGGAGACCTGAAAGTGGCACATAGGGGTTTAGGGGCCTGGCAGCAGCTATGGGAGGCCCGTAATGCCAGACCCTTCATGGCGGATTTAGTCAGTTTGTCAGGAACTGGTGGTTTAGAAATCCAGACTAATCCACGCCTGATTCATTTGGCACAAACGTCAGTCTCTCCACACTATGGGGTGGACAGTCGTGTCCTCCGCGGAGTTTGCAATACCTCCTGCCGCACTAAACACGCGCTCCGATGCCACGCTACTGGCCGGGCATGACAGCCTTTCAAGGGCAAATTCAGCTAGTTGGGGCCAAAGGTCAAGTTTCGTTGCCCAGTAGTCAAGGGGATTGTCTACCTCGGTTGGCAGGGTGCTGTCCAAGTAGGCCTAAGCCTGTTGTTTGAGGTCCTGCTCCAGGTCCACTGATGCTGCTGCAGCTGCTGCTGCTGCGGCTGGTTAGTAGTTTCCTCACTGCGCTGGTGAAGAAAGCTACTCATCATCGACTGCAGACTGAGGCAGCCGCTGCTGTGGAGCTGCCACTGCTCCTACCACCCCACCCCTCCCCTGCTGCCATGGCAGCGGAACGCGAGCGCACAGGGCCCACAGTGTCTGAGGATGGACGTTGGCGCAGACAGGCAGAGACCAGCTGACTACATAGGTGTTTTTATAGTACGTTATTTTGGCCTCCCTCTCAGCAGGTGTGAAAAAGGCCACCATTTTTGAACGGTAGCGAGGGTCCAACAAGGTGGACAGCCAAAAGTCATCCCTCTGTCTGATGGTTATTATTCGGCTGTCGCTACGCAAGCAAGCGAGCATGCTATGGGCCATTTGTGCCAAGGAATGCGAGGGACTCCCTGCCTCCATCTCCACAGCATACTGCCACGGTGCGTCTGGGGTCCTCTGTCTCCTCCTCCTCCTCCTCCTCCTCTACCAGATGCTCCTGCTCCTCCACTCCTGTCCGCTGAGTGGAAAAACCACCCATTTCACTCAATAATTCCTGAGCACCAATGTCCTCCTCTACCTCCTCCTCTTCTTCCTGTCCTGCCCCCACAGGGGTCATGTGGCGTTGAGATCTGTGCGCCACGTCTACCGCACCCTGACCAGCCATTGTTAACAGCATTTGTTCCAGGACGTGCAACAGAGGAATGACGTCGTTCATCCCATAGTCCTGCCGACTCACGAATAGCGTGGCCTCCTCAAAGGGCCTGAGCAAGCGCAGGTGTCACGCATGAGCTGCCAATGGCTGACATCTAAGTTACACAGGGAGTACCTTTATCCGCTTTTAACATCAGGAAATCTGTGATGGCCTTTCGCTGTTCGTAAAGGCGGTCTAACATATGTAGGGTTGAATTCCATTCCACCTTGTTGCAACGTCACAGCATGAGGAGTCGGTACGGGGGCCCATGGCAGATTACGGGCCTGGCAGCAGCAATGGGAGGCCCGTAATCTGCCAGCACCCTATGTCAAAAAATTCAACACACCAGCAGTGTGAGGAGACCTGAAAGTGGCACATGGCAGAGTGTGGCGATGGAGACAGCAGCAATGGGAGGCCGTACAGGGACCCATGAGAGACTCTGGACCTGGCAGCAGCATGAGGAGGCGGTATATAGGGGCCCATGGCAGATTAGGGGCCTGGCAGCAGCTATGGGAGGCCCGTAATCTGCCAGCACCCTATGTCAAAAAATTCTACACACCAGCAGTGTGAGGAGACCTGAAAGTGGCACATGGCAGAGTGTGGCGATGGAGACAGCAGCAATGGGAGGCCGTACAGGGACCCATGAGAGACTCTGGACCTGGCAGCAGCATGAGGAGGCGGTATATAGGGGCCTATGGCAGATTAGGGGCCTGGCAGCAGCTATGGGAGGCCCGTAATCTGCCAGCACCCTATGTCAAAAAATTCAACACACCAGCAGTGTGTGAGGAGACCTGAAAGTGGCACATGGCAGAGTGTGGCGATGGAGACAGCAGCAATGGGAGGCCGTACAGGGACCCATGAGAGACTCTGGACCTGGCAGCAGCATGAGGAGGCGGTATATAGGGGGCCATGGCAGATTAGGGGCCTGGCAGCAGCTATGGGAGGCCCGTAATCTGCCAGCACCCTATGTCAAAAAATTCTAACACACCAGCAGTGTGAGGAGACCTGAAAGTGGGCACAGAGTGAGTGTGGATGGAGACAGCAGCAATGGGAGGCCGTACAGGGACCCATGAGAGACTCTGGACCTGGCAGCAGCATGAGGAGGCGGTATATAGGGGCCCATGGCAGATTAGGGGCCTGGCAGCAGCTATGGGAGGCCCGTAATCTGCCAGCACCCTATGTCAAAAAATTCAACACACCAGCAGTGTGTGAGGAGACCTGAAAGTGGCACATGGCAGAGTGTGGCGATGGAGACAGCAGCAATGGGAGGCCGTACAGGGACCCATGAGAGACTCTGGACCTGGCAGCAGCATGAGGAGGCGGTATATAGGGGCCTATGGCAGATTAGGGGCCTGGCAGCAGCTATGGGAGGCCCGTAATCTGCCAGCACCCTATGTCAAAAAATTCAACACACCAGCAGTGTGAGGAGACCTGAAAGTGGCACATGGCAGAGTGTGGCGATGGAGACAGCAGCAATGGGAGGCCGTACAGGGACCCATGAGAGACTCTGGACCTGGCAGCAGCATGAGGAGGCGGTATATAGGGGCCTATGGCAGATTAGGGGCCTGGCAGCAGCTATGGGAGGCCCGTAATCTGCCAGCACCCTATGTCAAAAAATTCTACACACCAGCAGTGTGTGAGGAGACCTGAAAGTGGCACATGGCAGAGTGTGGCGATGGAGACAGCAGCAATGGGAGGCCGTACAGGGACCCATGAGAGACTCTGGACCTGGCAGCAGCATGAGGAGGCGGTATATAGGGGCCTATGGCAGATTAGGGGCCTGGCAGCAGCTATGGGAGGCCCGTAATCTGCCAGCACCCTATGTCAAAAAATTCAACACACCAGCAGTGTGTGAGGAGACCTGAAAGTGGCACATGGCAGAGTGTGGCGATGGAGACAGCAGCAATGGGAGGCCGTACAGGGACCCATGAGAGACTCTGGACCTGGCAGCAGCATGAGGAGGCGGTATATAGGGGCCCATGGCAGATTAGGGGCCTGGCAGCAGCTATGGGAGGCCCGTAATCTGCCAGCACCCTATGTCAAAAAATTCAACACACACCAGCAGTGTGTGAGGAGACCTGAAAGTGGCACATGGCAGAGTGTGGCGATGGAGACAGCAGCAATGGGAGGCCGTACAGGGACCCATGAGAGACTCTGGACCTGGCAGCAGCATGAGGAGGCGGTATATAGGGGCCCATGGCAGATTAGGGGCCTGGCAGCAGCTATGGGAGGCCCGTAATCTGCCAGCACCCTATGTCAAAAAATTCTACACACCAGCAGTGTGTGAGGAGACCTGAAAGTGGCACATGTTTGAGGCATGATTCATGGCGGATTTAGTCAGTTGTGTCAGGAACTGGTGGTTTGAAATCCAGACTAACCCACGCCTGATTCATTTTCACAAACGTGAGTCTCTCCACACTTTGGGTGGACAGTCGTGTCCTCCGCGGAGTTACAATACCTCCTGCCGCACTAAACACGCGCTCCGATGCCACGCTACTGGCCGGGCATGACAGCCTTTCAAGGGCAAATTCAGCTAGTTGGGGCCAAAGGTCAAGTTTCGTTGCCCAGTAGTCAAGGGGATTGTCTACCTCGGTTGGCAGGGTGCTGTCCAAGTAGGCCCAAGCCTGTTGTTTGAGGTCCTGCTCCAGGTCCACCTGATGCTGCTGCTGCTGCTGCTGCTGCGGCTGGTTAGTAGTTTCCTCACTGCGCTGGTGAAGAAAGCTACTCATCATCGACTGCAGACTGAGGCAGCCGCTGCTGGTGGAGCTGCCACTGCTCCTACCACCCCACCCCTCCCCTGCTGCCATGGCAGCGGAACGCGAGCGCACAGGGCCCACAGTGTCTGAGGATGGACGTTGGCGCACAAAGGCAGAGACCACTGACTACATAGGTGGTTTTTATAGTACGTTATTTTGGCCTCCCTCTCAGCAGGTGTGAAAAAGGCCACCATTTTTGAACGGTAGCGAGGGTCCAACAAGGTGGACAGCCAAAAGTCATCCCTCTGTCTGATGGTTATTATTCGGCTGTCGCTACGCAAGCAACCGAGCATGCTATGGGCCATTTGTGCCAAGGAATGCGAGGGACTCCCTGCCTCCATCTCCACAGCATACTGCCACGGTGCGTCTGGGTCCTCTGTCTCCTCCTCCTCCTCCTCTACCA